GGGTGAACCATTAGGTTTTGATGCAAGCCAAATAGAAGAGACTGGGTAAAACTTCCCTGGGAAAAAATCTGTGCTTATTGTGCGCCGTGTTCTGCTTTTACTGTTAGTAATCGATGGCAATTACTGCACATATCGGGTGCTTTAGACATGCTGTTAGCAAAGAAGAGGTTTGCTTTTTCCACATGCAATGCATAACTGAAACTGAGCTGGTTTCTTAACTGAAAATATAATTGCTATTTGATAGCTTAAACCAGAATATTAAGCAGCCTTGAAATTAAAGATCAAATCTCTCAGTTAATGAAATAGCTACACCAAGTATTTTAAGATATAATAGGGTAGATTAGATGTAGGTCTTGAAGAATGTTACCTTGAATATGAATTTTTCTAGTTAAAAGCAGAGCGAGTTGTTTAGAAATATCCTGCCATAGTTGCAATAGGAAACCCCATTTTTATTAGCTGCTACTTGCTCACAAATGCATTCATATCTTCACCTGGGGCTCATTCCTAAAGAAGCTTCATCTCTGACTCCATGATTCCTCGTTCTTCCAGTCACTTCCTCCGTAGTACAGTCAGCCTCAGTGTTGTAGCCGATGCAGACTCTGAAACTACTGAAGTGTGAAAGGAGACAAAACGGGGAGGCCTGTCAAGAGTAAAGAGTAGGGAGCAAGTGCAGGGTGTCCGTTGGGAGCAAGGAAAGAGGAGGCTGTTTGGTAGGTTTTTAAAAATCTCTGTGGGTGCATTCGACTAAATTGCAGGGGTTTGGCAGGGCCAAATGAAGGTTCTTGGGCAAGTAACTGTGCATTGATGTCAGCTTGCCAGGACAGAAGTGCGCATGAGGGCTGCTCAGCGCTGCTCTCCACGGTTGTGAGGCATTTTCTTTAACTGATACAAGGGCACATGTATGGCAGTACATGAAAGAAATTCATTGGAAAAATGAAGATTTGGTAAAAGCTTGCCTGACAGATTTATTTTTTAATTTTGTGGCCTGAAACGTGCTTAAACATGTCTGCAGTGAAGGTGAGCGAAGCAATATGCTGGCAACTCTATTGAGAACGAAGTAGGGAGTGTTAGATAAGCTTTTTTTCATAAAATGTGCAGGTGTCGTCTATCCTGTTTGGGAAACATTGCAGCTTTCCTTTTTCATACTTTCCCCTGGCAGAATTTCTCATTCATTTTGTCATGCTTCTAGGAACAGGCTTTTAGGAAACAGAGTAATTCCATAATCTCTCCTCCAAATAGTTATATCATTGGGTGGATCCCATTGTGAGCAGACTCTCACAAGATTTCTTTGAAGAAATTCTATCTCCACTGTGTGCAAACAGTAAGTAGTATTGCTGGTACAGCTGAGGGTGGTTTGGATCACAGGCTGGGGCACCTGACCCCAAAAGGTAAAGAACCAAGAAACATACGTGTTGTGGGGGATAGATATACCAGAGAATATAGTGTCATTTACTGATGACTTCTTTACTGCAAAATTGGTATTCTTGCAGATTTTGTTAGCTTATGGCTGTGGATGTAACAGATATCCTCCCAAATCCTGGATGTAAAATTAATTTCAAGATGAGTTGGGTTTTAATGATCTTCTCAAGAAACTATGAGTGGGTAATTCTGCCAGACATGTTCTGTTCGATGTGGCAGGGTACACTGTCTTGCTTCATTGCCATAGATAGAAGAAATCCTTCAAGCAGGGAACAATAAAGACCTTAAAAGTTGTTTCTTGGCTCATGCACTAATGCATACGTGTAAGAGGTTCGAAGGGGAAATCTGTGCAAAGCATTCATATGACAAGCATCAGCCTGACAAATGAATCTGTTCCAGCAGGCCATACAGTGAGTAGCCACGTCAGGCAGTATCAACCTGCGTTTAATTTCGGTGTTGCTTTGTTCTCATGCAGGAGTTTGTTTATTTAAAGTTTGTTGGGGCTATTGCTGAGCAATTGGGTCTCTCATTGTCTTATTGCTGTGTAATGCAGGAGGCTGATACGGATGATAACCAGGGCACGCTGGGCTTCGACGAGTTCTGCGCCTTCTATAAGATGATGTCAACACGACGCGATTTGTACCTGCTAATGCTCACCTACAGCAACCACAAGGACTACCTAGATACAGATGACCTGAGACGCTTTCTGGAGATTGAACAGAAGGTGGGCCCATGCCAGGAGAAGATTTCCAGTCTGCAGGCCTTCCTGTTTGCTGTTGGGGATGCATTGCCTTTTAAAAGGGGTGGGAACTTTGTTGTCGTGCGTGTGAAAAATACAGTTAGATGCCTCTTGATTTTCATCTTGTAGGCTGGCATGACTGTTTATGAATCTTCTTGCTCTCACTACCTCTTTTTCCTGTAGGCTCTTTTGTTGTGCCCCTAAATATAGTCTCTACAGTTTCTTTCTTTTTCATGTGTTAGGACAATTCCATCAGGATCTGTCTTTTCCCAGCATTCAGTACCTTGGTGCAAAGATGGTGTTTCTGGCTCTGCTTTTGACTTAGTGCACAGTCCATGATGAGACACTGAATTACTTCGTCACACTATCTCAGTTTGTAAAGTGGAAGATTGTTTTTGAAGAGCTGTTGAGAGGATTATTAATGCCTGGGAAGGTTTTTTTTGGGACACGTTAATTTGTCTTAAGTTACTTATCTCTGTGTGTGTGATGTGCCACGTCCATGCCCACAGATCTGCTTCCTCCATCACTGACTTGAACCTTTCTGGCATTAGGAGTCTGTAACCAAGCTGCCTGGAGGCCTGACATTTTTACTCCTAACCCAAATGAACCCCTTGGTCAGAACAAGTTTGTGTCTTTCTGGTACGTGGTAATTTGGCAGATCAGAAAATGGCAAGGCATCTGATATCCGTACCGTGGGGACATTCATCCATTGGAGCAGGTTGCCTGGAGAGGTGCAGCCTCCATCCTTGGAGGTTTTAAGAACCAGACTAGGTAATGCCCTAAGCTAACTGCTGTGACCTTGTAGTTGACCCTGCTTTGAGCAGGATTTTGGGCTGGATGACTTCCTCAGGTCCCTATGATCTTTTATCTAGAGACTTGGGGAAGATTCTGAAGTGAGGAAAAATAATTGGACAGCAAGATGGAGTCAGTGCAGGAACAAATGCATTGGCTCATCTTTGCCTTTTTCCTCTCGTGATCTCTTTTGAAGCCGCGTACCTGTAAGTCATAAATCTCCATCAGTTTCAAACGTCTAAGAAATGAATGAATAAAAAAGCCACCTCTCTGGCAGTTACCCTTTTAAATAAACGGGGTATGTTTCCATTTCATTGGTCAATTGATCCTCCAGATGGTGAGAGGAAAATGAACACTCGCCACCGGACACAAATCAGCTCAGCTAATCACTGATGTGCACCACTCATGCCTGTGGGGCTCCTCCCTTGCCTAGTGCTGCCCTTTCTCATACAGTACGGACAGGGGAAGCAAGTGTTCATTCTGTGCCTTTGAAACTGTACCAGGAAAACCTTCTGTTGTTCCAGAGCTTTGTCTTTTGGACCCAGCAAACCTAGAATGTATGGGCAAATAAAAGGTTAGGGGTTTTTTCATCCTCTGGTTTTACTTTTCTTTATTAGGTTTTAAATTACCCCCAGAAAAGGCATTGATCTGGTAGCAGATATGCTGGTGCTTTCATTTCCCCCTAAGCAAAGATACTGTGTTCCCAAACAGTCATCAACTTGGTCACTTTATTGGCAGTCCCCTCTGGTGACAAGGGCTGTGTTTTCATGTGCCATGTACAGCATCTAATGGAAAGGATTTGCTGGACCACTCAGGACGGGAATATTAAATAATGGCAGGGGTAATAATTAGAGGATAAATCAACAGTAAATAGCAGGAGTATTAAATAGTAGTTTTAAAATTGAATTATGAAAACATTGCAAGGTAAATAAAGCTACAGCTTATCATAAATGGCCCTTTATAAATGACAACATTTACAAACATGTATTATTGCTGTTTGTACTCTCCTTTTTCAGTTGAGAATGCAAAGCAACCTTGAAGTTAGCAGATTTCCTCAAGGAGCTTTGAGACCATTATGTCCTGATTCTCTGTTACCCTGCTAGTAACTGATTTTTCTCTCTGCTGCGTAACGATGAGCAATTTTCTTGGTTTATTTTAAAGTAAAACCCCTTTGATAATGCAAACTAATCCTTTAATCCTACAAGAGAAGAAATCCCATTGGTTTGAACAAAGCTTGTTCTGTTTGGATGCTCTGTGTGCCTAACAACACTAACCAGATTTGACCTACAAAGCAGAACTCTGTCCGTATTGGCTGTGATCAGGCAGCTGCCAATAGGACAGAAACTTTTCACAAAGCACTGTAGTTCTCATCTGACCTGACAGTGATTGACGGGAGTGAGAATCTCGCTGGGTAGCTGGAAATCCTTAGTACCACTATGGATAAGCTGGTTAGTTGTTAAACTGTACACAGAGAAAAGGGCTGAGAGAAGCTGTGATAATTAGTTAACGCTTCATTTTTTTTCTACTTTTACAGATGATGAATGTGACTAAAGAACATTGCCTGGAAATCATCAGCAAGTTTGAACCGTGCCTGGAGAACAAGAAGGAAGGAGCTCTGGGGATTGATGGTAAGCTGGCTCGTGTAGCTTTTGTAAGAGAGAGGCAACTGTTGACATGCTTATGAGAATATTGCGTTTATTTGCATAATATGTAGCCATAGAATTTTGTCATGTTCTGTAGAGTGTGTGTGTGTATGTATGTGTGTGTATATATATATATATATATACACACATACACACCTACTTTTCAGAGGGTTTTTTTAAAGTATCTGTTATTTGCTGAGGAACCCAAAGGGAAATTGGTACTCTTGGGAAGATTTTTCAAGGTGCATGTCATGATGAAGCAGCAGTCATTGAAGGTCAGCTGGTGCTGATTGTGTCTTTGTTTGTGCTTTTGTAAAGTACAGTAGAATTTTGTTGCATCATTCCTGCAGGTATTTTTTGAAATCCTTTAAGTTTTAGCCAGAAGAGTGATCTGATCCAGAGTAAATATGTGAAGTGAGCTGATAGATGCAATTTGCCTAGAAGCATGCTTTCATGACCTCTGCTGCTAAAGCCTTCACTCTGAATACAATAATGCTGTGCCATCATGATGGTAGCTGTTATTTTGAGGACTGATTCTAAATCCTTTTCCCCTAAATAGTAAATCTTCTGCCAGATCTTATTGACTCCCCAGACAGAGTACATTCCTCAGGAGTTAGATTCTGTGCAAAAGTTCTAGGATGTTTTGAAAATCAGTCTTGTCCATTTCTGTGGCAACGTTGTCATAGAGAAGAGTGGCAAAATGTAAGTTCTGTTTGGGGACGTTTGAAATGGAAGTTACAGTTTGTAATGCTAGTCCGTCTTATGAAAGTGCCTGTGTATACGTGCACAGATGTATACTGGTCATCTGAAAGCAGCAATTTCATACAAAGATCTGTCTGTGATGATGTCTACGTGATTTGCAAGCACCCCACTACTTCAGAAAATGAACTCTTCTGGTAGCATCACTAAAAGTACTACAGATAATCGATTTTTCGGAGTGAAGTCTGGAGTGAACTTCAGTCTCACAAAGTGACAGTAATACAATACTGCAGATCTCTCCCATCCACATGCCTGTATCAAAATTAGAGACTGTTGCTTGTACAAGCCAATGTATGTTGACATTCTTCTGGTATTTTCAGGAGAAATAGAGGAGAGTGTCTCCCTTGCTTCAAAATGTGTTGGGCCACTAGAAACTGTCTCTGGGCAGTACAATACCTTCTATCTTTCGACTCATTTCACTGTGGAGCAATGCCAGGTTATGACCACAGAGCTCTGGAGTCTTTTATATGCTGTGGAATTTAATGTCCCAGCAGAATCTTCTGACAACAGTTAAAAGCCTAAACTGTCAGGTTTGGATTAAATAGACATATTTTTTCAGGAAAGGTGGAGCGGGGAAGTGTACAAAGCAACTAGAAATTTCTGGAAATCAGTAATCGCAGTCGGTCACTGTGACAGTTGGGATGTAGTGGTGCTGTTTATATATTTATCTTACTTGCACGTTTGTGAACGTGCTGGTGAATGTAGGGGTGCATTTTTAGCCTGGTTTTAAGAAGGCTACAGCAACAAAGAAGGATAAAATGGTGTCATTTATAGTATTGTTTGTTTACAGGTTTCACCAATTACATGCGGAGTCCGTCAGGGGACATATTCAACCCAGAACACTACCAAGTGCATCAGGACATGAGTTATCCATTGAGTCACTATTTCATTACCTCTTCACATAATACCTACCTCATGGGAGATCAGCTGATGTCCCAGTCTAGAGTGGACATGTACGCGTGGGTGCTACAGTCTGGCTGTCGTTGCGTAGAAGGTAAAGATCAAGAAGGAATCATCAGTAGGCTCCTTAGTTTTGTTTCTCCTCTGTAAAGGAAGACACATGACTTCTGCGGAACACATGGTAATCGGGTAAAGGAAAAGCCTAGTAAAATGGTGTCTTCCCCTCATAAAGAACAAAATAATGTTGCCATATAATCAACTAATTTTCTTGAGCGTGGAAATAAGGCAGACATTTTAAGAATAGTGTCATTGGTACCGAGTGAAAAGACGCCTTTATGTGAAATCCCTTCTGATGTTTGTAGCGCCTTTCTAAGGCAGTACCTGTTTCATAATCGTCTTTATTGTCCTGACCATCAAAGTGTGTTCACAATTTTTCAGAAGGCCATTATTATGGTTTGCTATGCTTTGTCATCTCTCTTCCTGTCATAGCACTCCTCAGCACTCGTTACAAGGAGAGCTTTTTTGACTGGGGCTTTCCCAAACAGTGGGAACAGTCATCTGTGCCCAGTAGAGTGTCAAGGCCAGGAAGTTTCCTCTCAGAGGAAGGACGTTCAGCACAGTGAGGAGGGAGATACAGATGAAGGGTGGGAGTGAGCCTATACCATGCTTTGTTGGGTGCATGTCTGGCTGGGTGGCTGAAGGGAATGGCAGGGTCTCACAGTCTTCCACAGGTGGTGGCCCCAAGTGTTACTTGTCTGATGGATGTCACTGTTTCTGTTCTACAGTTGACTGCTGGGACGGGCCAGACGGTGAACCAATTGTCCACCATGGATACACTTTGACTTCCAAAATTCTCTTCAAAGATGTGATTGAAACAATCAACAAATATGCCTTTATCAAGAACGAGTATGTATGCAGTCTGCCAACTTTTGAGTCTCAGGGCTATGAACTGGAGTGTCCCCTGGCATCCTTGTAAAGGCAGTTAGTGAAAATCTAACCTGTTCCTGCATGTGCCAGACAGAATTTCAAGGAGTTTTCTGTGGGGAGAAAGCCTTCAGAAAGAAATAACAAGGCAAACCTGACTGAGTCGGGGCATTCTGTACATAACTGTGGGTCTGTCTTTACCCAATTTGTAGAAGACCAGAGGATCAATGTGTTTTGACAGTGAAAGTTTTTAGTGAATGGCTGCCGATTTAACCGCATACCGCTCTGGATGTGTACTCCAGTGATGCCAAGGTTGCACTTGGTTGCTCCAGGGATAGGAAGTAAGTCAGGCAGCAAAGGAATACTGAGATAGTAGTCCAATTGTGGAGAAAGCAGACTGTTCAAGAGAAAAAGGTTGTTCTCCCTACCTGTACATTGCTCAGAAGCTCAGAGAATTAGACAATGGGAAGTTTCATGTACCTTGGCAGTACTGTTCTCCTCCTGAGAGTCAAAATGTGTGTGTCAATCTATCTTTTTTTTTTTAAAGATAAACCAATTTATCTCCGTAAAAATTTCTCCGAAGCAGTCCATCTGCCTTCATTAATAGAGCTAAACTTGCACTGAAATTTCAGCCCAGATAAACTTATTGTGAGCCTGAAATTTTTGGAGTTTGCTTAAAGACATGTGAAATCAAAGGAAAGCTGGCCAGCAGGACATACGGCAATGCTTCCGGAATTGTTGCAGCTCTTAAAAGCTTTACGGAAAGGTTAACTGGGACCGCGTTACAACTTATTATTCGTGGTGGTTTTTTTTCTTGGTAGGCATTGATGCTCAGTCAGAGTTTGGTACTGAATGGAGCTTATTTTAGACTTGCAGATGTTTTCTTTCCCAGGATAGGCTGGAGGCATAGCTGTTGGTAGGCTGCAAATTCAGCTAAGGAACTAGCTTCAGGCAAAGCTAGGAGTTTAACTATAGTCATCAGTTGGGAAAGTTTAGTCCTGCAGGCATTGTCTGGCTGAAAGCCTTGTTTTTTCCTGATGAGGAGCTAATGAGGGCCAGATGTCAGGATAGACATTTTTATTCGTAATTAGTTTTTAATTAGTTAATCCCTCATAATTCAGTCCTGCAAAACTTCACTTAATACTGGCTTTTGTGCTCATCCTAAAACTGTATCATCTCTAAACAGAAATCCATCTTCAGTGTGCTTTTACATGGCACTAACTACACTGGAATTAATGTTTCACAAATCTTATCTTGATGCCTTTCAAACAACCAAGCATTGTTATTTCTTGGTCTCAGCCTGGAGAATCAACATTAAAGGACAACAATAAAACTAAATCTAGAAATAACACTTACTGTCTTTGTAAGAGAGTCTTTATCTGCAGGCTTGCTTGTATGACACTGCTCTGTTGCTAGCTAGAAAAGTTTCCATGGAAGAGCCAGCCTAATAAATACTAACCTAATAAACCTAACCTGGTAAACCCAAACAACAGGTTTTTATCTCTTTGTGGTTGGAAGTGGGAAGGTAAAGTCAAAGCCCCTTTGGGGATCTTTTCAGTTCTTGGAACCTTTATATGCTTTTACCTGTGAGAGTACAGAAGAGCTGAAGCACCGATAGGGGAGTTGGAGGCACTGGCTGTGCAGGTTTTCCTTGTGAATGGCTTGCTAGGATCTCTTCCATAGGAAGTGGAGGTCAGGGCTGGGTAGTGTGGGAAGGCTAAAAGTGTGCTCTGGAGAAGAAAAATACATCAAATCAGATTGCAGAAGTTTAATTATCCTGTGGCTGTCAAAAAATCGACCATTCAGTTTGGGGTGAGTGGTGGGGTGTTGGTCCTGTGCCCACGCTGATTTACCTGACCCCTGTGGATTTCGTTGGTGGTGAGGCCTGTTTCAGGAATGGCTCAAGAGAGTGATAACCCTCATCCTCTTAATGCTATAAAAGCTGCATTTGCAGTTGATGATACTTGCTTATGTCTCTGCCAGGTACCCTGTTATCTTGTCGATTGAGAACCATTGCAGTGTCATTCAGCAGAAGAAGATGGCTCAGTATCTTACAGAAATTCTGGGAGACAAACTGGATCTGTCTTCTGTGAACAACGATGATTCTACCAGGCTCCCTTCACCAGCGAGTCTTAAAGGAAAGATACTGGTTAAGGTAAAACCCTGCTTCCTTCGTTCCATCCCTCTTTTTCTTTGTGATGATTGTGATTTCTGCCCGCTTACCACTTATACCCTAACTTAAACCATTTCACAAAAAGCAGTCTTTGAGAACCTGGTACTTAAGGTTCTGAACAAATGTCTTCTCAATCGAGAAGAACCTGGTTGCATGGTCTGAGTATTTTTTTTTTTTTTTCCAAGTGTGATAGCAAGAGCTGCCATGCTAACCTGTCTGTGTCATCATTTTATCTTCTAGGGGAAGAAACTTCCAGCCAACATCAGTGACGATGCAGAGGAAGGTGAAGTTTCTGATGAGGACAGTGCTGATGAGATTGATGATGACTGTAAGCTGATGAATGGAGATGTAAGTTAAGTGACCATTTGAGTATAAATGCATGTTAAATTTTCCCATCCCAGTGTGAAGAAACTGTATGAGTTTTCTGGAATGTGGATATGATCTAATCTTTGGGATTCATCACAAGTCTTTTAGGCTGTAAACCTTCATGGGGACGGCTTTAACAAAAGCGCATACTAGGCAGCACCAGGTCTAGTGGTTACGTTTCAAGTTTGTAATTTTGTGTCCTTTAATATTTTAAATAGTGATATCTCATAATTCTTGATTGCATCATAGTGATCTTCCCCTCAAATGCAAAAAAGAAAAAAAAATTCTACTTATATCAAATTGTGGTCATTGTTACAGAGCATCCCTTTGGTTTGCTGAATGCTGGGTTAGTTGATTTTTACTGGAAGGAGGTGTTAAAAAGGAACGCTATTTTAATCTCTGCTTGCTTCAATCCCTTATTTCTTCATCCTTTTAAAAAGTTAATTTTTTTGTCACTTTAATCTTCTGGCAAGTGACATTGCATCTTACAGAGACAATATAAAATACACAGCAAAACCATTTAACAGCATAAACTAGATTGCCTTGGAGAGAGATTGCATTTTCAGCCCTCTTCTCCCTCAGGCTGTTTCCTCATTTTGCCTTGTGGGTTTGATCCTTTTCATCTAAAACTTTTTATGAATAATCTACCAAAGGGGAAAAATGATCTGTTTGGTTTTTTAAATTACTATGTTTTAGCATATCACTTTTCAATATTTTAAAGCTGAGATCTGTGATGTTTTAGTACTTCATGTTTTTCAGCACTCCTGTTAACATGATGCAGCTTTTCAAAGTGGAAGGCATTGTACAGCCAGCGGTGATGC